TCGGCGAGGCTCATAAATGACGCCGTGTAGTCTTGGACAGAAGCCATCTGCGACCATGCACGCAGCTTCATGCGAGCTTGCTCCGAGGCGGATACGTGCTCGAAGCGACCTCGTAAGGCTGCGCCCCACTCCTTCCATGTGCGTATCGTGGTCACTCCGAAGATCGAGGTTGCCACTTGATTAGTCACTGTAGAGGTCCCGTCTGCCGCACGTGTCACACCTGTCGAAGTCCCTGTTTCTAAGGTTCGACGCCACCACTCAAGCGCTGCACCTCGAAGAAGGGAGACTGCGTAATCAATACGCGTGGCGTCATCATTAACTCCGGCTGCAGTGAAGAAGACTTCGACCCCGAGCAGCCACCCTTTTACCGTAACCGTTTTGTCCGTAGGATTAAACGGAGGTGGGTTGACGGGCTTGATTTTGATCGTCGTCACTGCAACTGGTGCCGCTGCCGCTCGCTGCCTATCCTCCTCTTCGAAGTCACGTGTGAGCGCATCCAATGGATTGCTCATCGCCTGACTGTTGCCCTCGCCTTCGTCCACAGGCGACTCCTGACGCGCTTCACCTCGCGTCTGGCGTAGCTCGGCGTTTTCCTCTCGCAGTGTCGTCACTTCCGCCATTAACGACTGCATGCTTTCCTGCATTTCCGCCACTTGCGCCATCATCCTATTCACTGCCTCCTGATCCATGTGCCTAGCGCTACGTCTGGTGGGCAGTCGGTGTCAGAATATTATCTTATTGTTCTAGCCTGTAGTGGGGTGCTCTATAGCGAGTACAACCCTTCTAGGGTTTGCTATTTGTATCCTCATTCTTGCTAGTTCAATCCTCTTTCTTCTTCTAACTTTTGTCATGCTATCAAAGCAGGTCGATCCCCTTGGATCGATCCTGTGGGTGGGTTTCCACCTCGCTTCCGCTGCTACCTTTCCTTCCCGCCGTGCGCCCCGAGGCGCGCGGCGGTTTTCCTTCCCGCCGTGCGCCCCGAGGCGCGCGGCGGTTTTCTGCCCGCCGTGCGCCCCGGGGCGCGCGGCGGTTCTTTGCCCGCTGTGCGCCCCGAGGCACGCGGCGGGCGTCTGCCCTACCTTCGCGGGCGTCCGCCCTACGTCGCGGCCCCGCCCTGCGTCGCGGCCCCGCCCCTCGAAGCGGCCCTGCCCTACGTCGCGGCCCCGCCCTACGTCGCGGCCCCGCCCTGCGTCGCGGCCCCGCCCCTCGAAGCGGCCCTGCCCTACGTCGCGGCCCCGCCCCGACCGTCGCGGCCCCGCCCTACGTCGCGGCCCCGCCCTGTGTCGCGGCCCTGCCCCTCGAAGCGGCCCTGCCCTACGTCGCGGCCCCGCCCCGACCGTCGCGGCCCCGCCCCTCGTCGCGGCCCCGCCCCTCGTCGCGGCCCCGCCCCTTGTCGCGGCCCCGCCCTCCAACCAGGCCCGTGGTGGGCCCATTTCACCACACCGCTTCCCCCCCCCCCCCCTCCCCCTGCCATTTCCCGTCGCCCGTCGCGGCTCCTTCGGGGGCCGCGAGCTGTGGGGTGGCGGGTATGGGGTTGCTCGGTGTGCCTTCCTCCCTTTGCTCCTCCTCCTCCTTCGTCTCCCACTGCTGCAGCTGTCGCTGAGGGGGGTGGTTGTGTGGGAGACTCGGGTTTAGGGTTTAAGGGGGGGTGCGTGGGAGTGCAGCTAGCGGTGTAGCAGTGGGTGTGCATCAGGGGGGTGGGACTGTGTGCGGGAGGTTGAGTGGAGGTTGTCAGTTTGTCGTTCGCAGCACCTGTAGTCCGGGGCGCTGTCCCGGTAGCCCAGTCGTAGCCAGCTGTGCCAGCCGCCCGTGGGTCCGTTGCCCGTCCGCCGCTATTTGAGCCGCGGGGCCTGTTACTCCTGTAGTCCGGGCGCTGTCCGGTAGCCGCTGTGCCAGTGTGCCTCCTGTTGCCCGTGTGCCTGCAGCTTCAGCCGTCGCCTCCTATCTCCTCTCCCCTCACTCTCTCTCATCCTCCTCACTTGCCCGTTGTGACTACCACTAGCTCTGCTTATAATTGTGAACTCTAAACTATTTCTTCTTGAACTTGTGCTCAGAATGTGTGGTGACATTGTGATCCACCCTGAGCTTGTATTGCTTTGCCTGCTCTGCTGATTACACCCCACTTTGGCTATGGGGGTGTGTCAGAATATTATCTTATTGTTCTAGCCTGTAGTGGGGTGCTCTATAGCGAGTACAACCCTTCTAGGGTTTGCTATTTGTATCCTCATTCTTGCTAGTTCAATCCTCTTTCTTCTTCTAACTTTTGTCAGTCGGGTCTCCGTAGCCTTCAGGCAAATGAAAACACGAACTATCGGAGTCGGGCAGGATTGAATTAACAATCCCTGCACCTAACCGTCGTGTAGTCACTAAACCAGCCACACCCTATGCCACCAAACTACCCTCGGAAAAGCGGGGTGAACTAGGAAAGTAGCTCTGATACCAGGCGTTATGAGTTGTAAAAGAGAGTGCGCAGGTAAACGAATAACGAGGCAGTGACTGAATGAATCTGAGAATACAATGAATGCACAGAATATTATAGGAATAGCCTAACCAGGAGGAAACCTCGGGAGGCGAGGTTGGGTGCAAGTTCGGCGATGGAAATGCCGAAGGCGACGCGAGGAGCCTCGGCAGCGTTGAAATCGGCCGAACGTGCGAACTCTGAAAATCGGGTTGTATGCGAAGCAGTCAACCCCGATAAGGAATTCGGGAAAATTCCTTACACATATGCCCATTGAATTTCTTTTGGCTATACTCCATATCAGTATACACACATTTGAAGGTCAGCACGAACATCTGGAATGCCGCCAAATATAATCGATTTTAGCAAGAAATGTTAGTCCAGGATGGGGTAAAACATGCCAACACTTACTAAGAGATTCCTCGTTTACATCAATACAATACCTAGAGCGTGTCATTTCTTTTTGGCTGTAAAACCCTGCCCAGACGCAAAGAATTGTGAGCAAACCGCTCTGACATGCACACCATCTCATTCCACCGCAATAAAGGAAACTCTTATGGCCGAAAGTCCATGACGTCAGTGTAAACTTGATGTCGTCTTGTGCAGCTGGATGTTTTCCTCCCTTGTTCCGCTCCACTTGTCATTGTTGTCTGCAAACATTTGCTGCTGACAACGCCCACCATTCACGGCGCCACAGTGAATCCCCTCAGATGCAACAACACAGCCGCACTCACCCCACCACCACACACCGCACCACACACCACCAGTCAGCCCTCTGCAATAATATCCTAGATTTGTTGGACACTGCTCTGCACGCTGACCCAGAATCCAGTCCAGATTCAGCAGTGGCTGAGCATCTTCCGCCAACCATACACTGCTTCCTTGATCCTGGGGGTCTCTTTCGCGCAGCTGGAAAGGTCCAGCCCAGCTCTTTTGCCTTGCTGACAAGGTTCACTGGTGACAGGCGATTGCGAATGTTATGATAACATCGCAAACCTTTCGTCAGCCTAGAAAATTGCTCTTTCATTGCACGTCGCAAAAACGTGGCGCGCTGCAACTGCAAGCTGTGTGTGCTGCTGCGAGCGGCCCGCTTGGTTTGTTGGGAGGGATTGCAAGGGAAGGAGAAATGGGATGCATGGAAAGTGCTGATGGACTTTCAAGACCACCCGCGCTGATGGATTATCACACTGCGTGACTTGTTCTTGCACATGCGAGTCGTAGTCCTCCTAATCAGTATCTATACTACCGCTTTCAACGTCGATATTAACGAGCTTGTTCAAAGATATGGATCCTACGGCCCCAACTGCCAGTCGCAATCCAAGCAAGGACCGCTTCAAGTTGGTCCGTTTTCCTAAAATTCGACCCGTTGCGCCGACTCTCCTCTCCGGCTCTCTCAACGGCGTTGCTCCCGCCGTTCACGCCAATGTCCACGGCGTCCTTCTCTCCCGCCTCGACACACCCGCGTCATCCCCCTCCCTTACTCGTCCCTCCACCGATAGCTCGCAGAATTCGACGGCGTTGCCCCCGCCGTCCACGCAGGCTCCTGGCCGTTCCTCCGCTGTGTCGCTGCGCGTATCTCCGGGAAAATCTTTACCTCATTCCGCCGGTGCGCCTTCCGGCCACTCCGCGCGCGCGGCAGCGGGCGAGCCAGGTCTCTCCAGGTTCTTGCCACCTCCTCCCTCGTCGGACCTGCTCGACGCCCGTGTCGCGCCTACCACATCGTCACCTCGGAGTCGCGCCATCGCTGGGCGGAGCGCGTCGCTTCCGGAATCCGCGTCGCGTGACGCGATCGTGCGATCTTCCCTCCCAAAGCGGTGGCTGTCGAGTCCCTCTCTCTCCTTGCTCGAAGCCTCCGATTCCGCCTCTAATTCCTCGTCAGACGGGCGACAGCAGTGCGCGCAGCGGAACCGCGACTGTTCATCCGCGCGTTCGTGCGCAGATGCGGTAGCATGCATTGGGGCTGCGCAGTTGCTCCGCCAGACCGTGCCGCCCGCAGCGACTCTCCAGGCGCCGGGGGCGCGGCTGGAGGCGGCACGGGTGTTGCGGCGGCAGCGGTCGCGGTCGCTTCCGCGAAGTATCACTTGCTGCTAAGGGGGAAGAGCGGGGTCAAACTCAGTTATGTGTGTAATTCCCCAATAAGGGAGCTTTTTGGGTCTAGGATAGGCCTAGCCTTCGGCCTATCGCCACCACACGGGAGGGCAGAAACGCGCACTTTTAGCTGCTGTGCGCTCCGAAGTGACTGCGCCTGCTGCACAATTTTCGATGTGTATCTAGAGTTCGTGGCAATCGGTGTTGATAGCAATGATACAGGAAGTTGCCTCATTACTTCATCCATCAGTGTACTTCATTGAAGCGTGCCTTCCCTGCCTCTAGGGTTGATGCCCATCTTGCGGGTATTGTGCCTACGGTAAAGGCCATGGTTCCTACTCTGCCTAGTTGCCTCTTGCATGTATGGTCTCACAGTGCAGAAGAAGGGTTTTAATTATGTATATGAATAAGACCATAACCAAATAACAATGGCACTCCCTGTGTAACTGTTCCCTCAGAAGAGCCGCTTCTCATAGGCCACAAGGCCATGCACCCCACCCTCTGCCTGCGCTGCACCTGTGCGCACCTGCAGTGCAGGAATCATGGCAGGACAGTGAACGAATGGGAACATTAAAGAGCAGAGATTCGAAGGGCATTAGGAGCAACACACACATCTACTCCATCCTTCCCCTCTCGCTCCCGTCCTTCTCTCACCTCAAGTTTGACAGATAACCCAACCCACCCCTCTGCCAAACCTCCCCCGCTCCCACCCCGATCCTTGGCTCCGCCCCCCCCTCTCCCCCACCCGCAGCGCCTCATGCAGTTCCCCCACTGACTGCACCCCCAGGTGCTGCAGGCCCCGCCACCCTTGCTTCCCTTCCCACCCCCTACACCCATCCCCCTGCCCATCTGCTGCCCCCTTCTCACCTCCAGTCTGATCTCCCCCGCCCGCACCGCCTCATGCAGTTCCCCCACCGACTGCACGCCCAGGTGCTGCAGGCCCTGCCACCCTTGCTCCCCTTCCCGCCCCTACACGCACGGAGCCTACCTATCCGTCTAACCACTCGACCACTCACCTCCAGTCTGATCTCCCCGGCGCGCAGAGCCTCATGCAGTTCCCCCACCGACTTGACCCCCAGGTCCTGCAGGCCCTGCCGGGCAGCGTGCGCGGTGAAGGGCAGGAGGCGCAGCAGCGACCCCTTGGCCTTGACCTCGCCCTCCACGCCCTGAGCCACCTTGAGCTGCGCCGCCTCCCCCAGGTACCGGCTGTCACTGCCCCTCTTCTGCGCTGCTAGCGACCCCATCCCCCTGTACTTCTTCACCCGCACCCCGTCCTGGAGAGGGGAGGGGGGTGGGGGGTGAGGGGAAGTGGGGAAGAGGGTTGGGGAGGGGAGGGGAGGGGAGGGGAGGGGAGGGGAGGGGAGGGGAGGGGAGGGGAGGGGAGGGGAGGGGAGGGGAGGGGGGGGGAGGGGAGGGGAGGGGAGGGGAGGGGAGGGGAGGGGAGGGGAGGGGGGGGAGGGGAGGGGAGGGGAGGGGAGGGGAGGGGAGGGGGGGGGGGAGGGGGGACTTATCATCTCAATTCTGCAAGGAGCCACACGCCCCCTTGCTGCTTCACTCTCACCCCGCCCTGGGAGAGGGGAGGGGGTGAGTGGGACAGAGATGAGAGAGGGGGTACTAACATTAGGGGATGGAGAATACGGGAGAAGAAAGGAGTGAACAACACAATGAAAAGAGCATGCAGACATGCCAGCCGACTCATAAGTACTCTCAGTCAAGAGCACATGGCAGCCGGTCAACGCCAGTCAACACCAGTCAACGCCAGTCACGCACCCGAATGTAAGTTTGCCCGGGCGCCTCATCGGTGCCTGCGAGGAAGCTTCCGACCATGACAGAGGAGGCGCCGAGAGCGAGCGCCTTGATGAAATGGCCCGTGTTGCTCACCCCGCCGTCCGCTATCACTGGGATCTCCCCCATTGCATGTGCGAGACTTGCTACCTTGAACACCGCTGTTGCCTGTCGTGATGAAGCATGGTGGGTGGGAAGAGAGAGGGGTATGAAGTGGGCCAAGAGAGTGAGCAGCGCCAGAGGGGCGTGGGGGGTGTTGCTCACGCCACGTCCCCGCCCGCTATCACCGAGATCTCCCCCATTGCGTGTGCCAGGCTCGCTACCTTGAACACCGCTGCTGCCTGTTGTGATGGGACGGTGGGTGGGACCGTGGGGGGAGGGAAGAGAGCGTGAGCAAGGCAGTGGGGCGTGGGGGGTGTTGTGTTGCTCACCCCGCCGTCCGCTATCACAGGAATCTCCCCCATGGCGTGTGCCAGGCTCGCCACCTTGAACACCGCTGCTGCCTGCACGTGCAGAGGACAGTGGGTGGGGAAGACACGTGTGAGAAGCAGAGGACAGAGGGGTGTAAGAGATGCAGAGAGATGCATTCACAGACACAGACCCGCATAGGGCAATGCACTCACATGCACCACTTCCCCTCTACTCACCTGCCCCAACATTGCTGCACCTGCCCCCACCCAATCTCACCTGCCCCCACCCCATCTCACCTGCCCCCACCCCATCTCACCTGCCCCCACCCCATCTCACCTGCCCCCACCCACCCCATCTCACCTGCCCCCAGCCCACGGCGCAGACTTCCTGGGTGGTGCAGATAGAACCACGTGGCCGACCGCACGCCCGACCTCATGCCTTGCGCGCCCCCTGAACTCATTCAAGGCAACTCAAAGCCTCGCACCCATGCCTGTCGTCACCTATTCCCTCTCACAGCGCCTCACCTGTCCCCTGCCCACGGCGCACACTTCCTGGGTGGTGCAGATCGAACCCGACCCCATGCCCACCCGAATGCCGTCCGCGCCCCCCTCTATCAGCCTGCGCGCCTGCACGGGGGGAAGAAGGGGGGGAGTGGGGGATTGGAAGGAAAGCGCAGCGATGGAGACGACACGGGTGAAGTGGCGGGCAGAAAGTGACACAAGGAAAGGAAACCATGCGTAACCTGCTGTGCAATGCACCTAGCATGCCACCCTCCTGGCTGTGCCCCTCATCTGCCATGCCAGCCACATACCTGCCGTGCCCCCCACCTGCCGTGCCTCTCACCTGCCGTGCCTCTCACCTGCCGTGCCTCTCACCTGCCATGCCTCTCACCTGCCGTGCCTCTCACCTTCCGTGCCTCTCACCTGCCATGCCTCTCACCTGCCGTGCGGTAACCACATTCCCTGCGATGATCTGCAGGTCGGGGAACTGGCGCTTGCAGTGCGCTAGCATGGCCAGCTGGTAGGACGAATCTCCCTGTGATGAGTCCAGCACCACTGGGGGGTGGGGGAGGGGGAGGGGAAGGGGGGAAGAGGGCGGGGGAAGGGTTGGGAAGAGGTGGGAGGGAGAGAGAGGACGTGAGTAGTCTGCTGCAGTGCGCCAGCATGGCCAGCTGGTAGGACGGATCGCCCTGTGATGAGTCCAGCACCACTGGGGGGTGGGGGAAGGGAGGGGGAATGAGGCGGGAATTGGGGAAAGGGGGTGGGCAGGGAAGGGGTGGGGGAGAGAGAGGAGTGGCTTTTCCAAGGCGCAACACTAATAGCCAGCAGAGGTGGGGAGAAGGGAGGGGAAGAGAGAGAGGAGGTGAGGAGTAGTGAGGAAAGATAAGGACGCCAGGGAGCAGAGCGGGATCAGCTTTTGAGTCGACTCAAAAGCAGACGCCAGGGAGCAGAGCGGGATCAGCTTTTGAGTCGACTCAAAAGCAGACGCCAGGGAGCAGAGCGGGATCAGCTTTTGAGTCGACTCAAAAGCAGACGCCAGGGAGCAGAGCGGGATCAGCCACCGCACCCCAACCTACCAGCATCAACCCCAACCTCCACCAGTCCCGCCACTCTCTCCCGGTAAAGAAAAGAACAACAAAGAAAAGAGTGGCCAACAATGAACAAACAGCTCCCACCTACCGGCATCAACGCCCGCCTCCACCAGCGCCGCCACTCTCTCGCGGTCGCTGTCCCGTGTGCCCACAGCGGCGCCCACCAGCGCCCTGCCGTCCGCCGCCAGGGAGGGCGGCCCGCGTGGGGGCAGCGCCAACTGCTGCTTCACCAGCGCGCGCGTGAGCAGACCCTTGAGCGCGCCGTCCTCCGCGACCAGCGGGATGCTGCTGCGCTTCGACTCCTGTGCGGGTGTGTGTTTGGCGGGGGGGAAGGGGACGGGCAGGGGTCAGTGGGCAGAGAGGATGGGGCAGCGCCAACTGCTGCTTCACCAGCGCGCGCGTGAGCAGGCCCTTGAACGCGCCGTCCTCCGCCACAAGCGGAATGCTGCTGTGCTTCGATCCTTGGAGAAGAGGAAAAACGGGGAATGGGAAGGGATGGGGAGGGCAGGAGGAATGGGGCAGAAGAGAGGAGAGAGGAGAGAGGGGGCAGGCGGCAGGGCAAGGTGGTGGTTGAGCAGCGCGCGAGTGAGCAGGCCTTTGAGAGCGCCGCCCTCCGCCACTAGCGGGATGCTGCTGCGCTTCGACTCCTGTGCGGGTGTGTGTTTGGCGGGGGGGAAGGGGACGGGCAGGGGTCAGTGGGCAGAGAGGATGGGGCAGCGCCAACTGCTGCTTCACCAGCGCGCGCGTGAGCAGGCCCTTGAACGCGCCGTCCTCCGCCACAAGCGGAATGCTGCTGCGCTTCGATCCTTGGAGAAGAGGAAAAACGGGGAATGGGAAGGGATGGGGAGGGCAGGAGGAATGGGGCAGAAGAGAGGAGAGAGGAGAGAGGGGGCAGGCGGCAGGGCAAGGTGGTGGTTGAGCAGCGCGCGAGTGAGCAGGCCTTTGAGAGCGCCGCCCTCCGCCACTAGCGGGATGCTGCTGCGCTTCGACCTCTGTGCGTGAGAGAGGAGGGGAGGGCAGTGGGGATGAGGGCAGCGCGAAGCGGGTTGCGGTGGGGTGAGAGTGGCGTGCTGTAGAGTGTGCAGGCAATGCAGGTGGGCGGGAAAGCGGAGTGCGGGAGGAGTGAGAGGTGTAACAGGCGAAGAGCAGAGGGCGCAGAGGCACCCTTCCCACACACATGGCAAGCAGCAAGCAGAGCGCTGCAGGCAGGCAGACAGGCACTGGGCAGCCCCACCTGGAGAAGCTTCTTGGCGTCTTCGTGCGAGCAGGAGGGCGCGGCGGTAACGAGGTCCTTGAGGGGCGTCATCACGTCCGATAGCAGCGCCGCGCTGGGGGGAGATGGGAATGGGAACGGGGTGATGGGGACGGGGGAGGGGAGACAGAGAGGAAAAGGGAGGGAGGGAGGACGGCAGGAGGCGGCAGTGAGTGAGGGGGACATAGAGGGCACGGGGAAGGAGGCACGGTGCGTCAGGATGCCAGGAAACGCCGCTGCTTCTCTGCCCACTTGGCTCTGCTTCCAGTCTTCACCACCTCTCCCCCCCCCCCACCCCCACCCCCAACCCTTTGCTACCCCCCTCCCCAACTCCGCCAATCAATCATTTCCTCACTCTTCCCCCCCTCCCCCCCCCCCACCACCCCCCTCTCTCTCGTCACCCCACCTGGAGTCAACGAAGTCAACGTCGTTCTGCGTGACCACGCCCACCAGCCTGCCGCCCGCGCTGCCGTCGTCCGTCACGCACACGGCGCCCTGCCCGCCCGCCTCCACCAGGTCCTGCCACGCCTGGCGCGCGGAAGGGGGAGAGAACGTGGGGGGCGGGAAAGGAGGAGGAAGGGAAAGGGGGGGGAGGGGAGAGAAAGGGAGGGAGGAAACAGGTGGGGTGGGGGAAAATGGGGCGGGGGATACAGAAGGGAGAGTGGGGGGCAATGCCTTAGGTGAATGGCACAACAATCCACGTGACTGGCACAACAGTCCACGTCATCATTCACATTGCACGCCACTCTCGCACATGCTATGCTGCCACCTACCCACTCCCGCATCCCCCCTTCCCTTCTCCACCCCTCACCTGCACAGTGCTTGTGGGCGGCAGAGTGGGCGGCGCGTTGACCACTCCCACGCGCCACTGCTTCGCCTGCCGAATCAAATCCGCTTGCTCCTGGACGCTGTTGTTGTAATGGATAAACCCCATCCCCCCCACCGCCGCCATCGCCGCCGCCATTTCCGCCTCCGTCACCGTGTCCATCGGCGAGCTGACAAGTGGCATACGCAGGGAGATGCCACGTGTCACGCGCCCGGTCAGGTCCACGTCAGACGCGGCGAAGCTGATGTGGCGTGGATGGAAGATGCAATCGTCGTACGTGTACGCCACGCCCTGCAATGCCACGTGGCAAAGCACAATTGAAGAGGGTGGTCGGGAAGAGAAGGGGACGCGCTTCGCAGCGGAACGAATCGGACGGCGGAGAGGGGCAGAGGCGCGCAGGGGCGCTTCGTAGCGGAGTGCCACGTGGCGGTACCTGATTGAAGATCTGCTGCGCCGTGAAGCCATCGTTCTCGAGCTCCAGCAGTTCCGCCGCTGCTCCGCTGCTCCCCATCGCGCCCGCCGCCGCTCACGCTGCTGTTCGCTCTGAGTCGGCTCAGACAGTACCGCCACTGACGCAACCGATGATTCGTCGAAACGACGTAGTTATTAACTTTTAAGCGCGACAATGCGTAGCTCTGGGCGGTAGATCGCAGCTTGCGTAACGTGATGGAGCAGCAGTGGAGGGAAGGGGGACCAAAGTGACGGGAAGAAAAGTGTAGAGGTTTTTGAAGGGTGCAGGGTTGGGGACAAAGACCAGGCTGATGGAATTGTTTGGTTTGCAGAATGATTCGGTAGTAGAGTAGTTTTTTTCCGGGTGTAGTATTTCGTACAGATTACTAATTTGGTCTCTACGCCATTTTTCGCTGAGTCAGCTACACGTCACCTGCAACACAAATTCGTCCCTTTCCTGCCACACATTTCACTGCCCTTCCCTCCCCCCACTCTCACACCCCGAATTCCCTATCTATCACCCATCATCCCCGATGCACCAACCCGACGCGATACGCCCACAGGCTCAAACATTCCGCAAGGCACTTGGCTCCTAGTGAATCGTGATGTGACCTCGAAGACCAAGTAGCAAAGCATCGCCACGCACGTCAACGGAAACTGCGCGCAGCCTTCTCCTTCCCGCTAGCCTTACTTCCGTCTCCCTGCTTTCTCCCCAGTCCACAACAATCATCCACACGTCGTCGACTCGCTTCCGCGCGTCACTCATCCCCCTCCTCCACCGCTCTCCACCACTCTCCGCCGAGAGCGCGCGCGCCATGGGCATCGCGACGTTGGACCTGCGTCCGGGGGTGGGCCTGGGGCCCTTCTCGCTCGGTGCGCTCCCCCAAGCCCGCTCCTCTTACTCGTCCTCTTCCGCTGCGCGCGCTCTGCGCTCCCCGCTACGGAATCTCCCCCGCCCGCCGCTGTCCCACCCACGCCCCCCTCGTTTCCTTGCTTTCTCTCAACCGCTCTCGCTCTTCACGGGTTCTCTTCGCGTTTCTTCGTCGCCCGCTGGTAACCACATTCCCGCTGCTCTTTCCCCCACACGTGTCTCCCCTACTCGTGCTGCACCTGCTGCCTGTTTGCGTTGTTCGGGCGCGTGTCGGCGCGTGTTTGCGCGTGCCGTGCGAGTGGCGAGCAGGCATGGCGGTGTGCGAGGCGTTGGCGGAGGTGGAGGCGCAGCTGGGCGTCTTCGACAGCATCGTCGTTAACTACTGCCACCAGGTGCGTTGCTATATTCCCCCCTATTTCCTGGCTCATTGGGCGCGGCGTAACTCACAGCCGCACACACTCGACTGCTGTCGTGCTGCCACCAGGTGGGGTGTAAGCATTTGTTTACAATTCTCAAAAAACTCCTGAGACCTACGCCCGACCCTTCCCCGGATCCCCCCCTATCTCCCGCCCCCAGGAGCCTCTATCGCGGGACATAGTCATCGCCTTCCCGCACCTCGGTTTCCGCCTCTGCTTCGACCCACACGTGCAGGTGCAGACTCGGCAGGTCACCTGCTCCTGCTACGCCCAAGCCTTGCATGTGCAGTGCAGTTCAAGAGCTTGGGGTAGGAACTAGACGCACACATGTAGGTCAGGATTCTCGCACTCTCCCACGTGCCCTCCACATTTCTCCACGCCCTCTCACTCTAATGCCGCCTCTCATCCTTGCGCATCCATTCTTCTCTCACTCCTCCTCAGCCAGCCCCCACCCCCATCCAACCCCCCCCCAGCGCCTGCACCGCATAGACGTGGCGGACATCTCTCGTCTGCACCTGCGATTCGGAGCCTCGCTGCTCGGGTATGCCTGCCGTCCCTCCCTTGGGTCCCGCCACCTTCTTGCCAACCCTTGGGTCCCGCCACCTTCTTGCCAACCCTTGGGTCCCGCCACCTTCTTGCCAACCCTTGGGTCCCGCCACCTTCTTGCCAACCCTTGCCTCAGCGCCACCTTCTTGCCAACTCTTGCCTCAGCGCGCCGCCCTCTTTCCCTCTTCCTCCTCTCTTCTACCCTCTCCTTCGCCATCCCCATACCCTCGTCTTCCGCCTTTGCCCCCTGCTGTGCCGGGCGACTCTCTCCCTCCCCCCCTCCGCCTTGGGTACTCGCATCGCAGAGGCCCCATGCAGGCGCCCACGTTCGCGCACGTGTATGCTGTGCTCGGTCACACCTTCCCCGGCGCCTACAGCGCTCAGTCTTCCTGCTACACCCTCGCCTACCCGGTACTGCTCCCCCTTGCCCTGCGCAATGCACGCCCTGTCCCCTGCCCTGCGCCCTTTCCCCTGTGCTCTGTGCCCTGCGCCATGTGCACGGCACCCTGGCCCTGCGCCCTCTTTTCTCTGCCCATTCTTGCCCCTACTGTCTCCTTCCTTCCCCCGTGCTCTTTTCCCCCTCTGCCCCGCCCTCCTCGCCCATCTCAACCCCTCCGTGTTGCCAGGGCATGGCTTTGCTCTTCCCCATCGCAGCGCCGCACCAGCACCTATTCCACCACCCCACACACGGTCAGGGCCTTCCTACCTCGCTCGCTCATGCCCTCTCAACGCCACTCTCACGCTACCTCACTCATACCCTACCCTCGCGGCTCCCCGCGCCTCTCTCTCCCCGAATCTCTTTTCGCCCCCCCTAGCCTCTCGCTCTCTCTCAACGCCCTTGCTGCACCCCGCTTTGTAAGCCGCATCACTAGCTCGTCTGCCCTCTCTTTTATCCGCCCTCCTTGCGCTGCTCCCCTCCTTCGTGGCCTGTCCTCTTAATCCCCAAGCTGCTACACGCCCCCCTCCTCCCTCCCATGCGTCTTTCATTTCCCCCCCCCCCCTCCCCTCCTCCCGGACCTCCCAATGCAGCTGCCAGACAGCTCAGCGCCCCGCCTCTCCCAAGTGCTGCTTTACCTGCTGGGGGAACCCACTTTCCACTCCTCTCCCCCTCTCTCTTTTCCCAACCCTTCCCCCTTCTCCCTCCCCTTCTCCCTCCCCTTCTCCCTCCCCTTCTCCCTCCCCTTCTCCCCTCCTCCCCCAGACCTCCCCATGCAGCTGCCAGACGGCTCTGCGCCCCGCCTATCGCAGGTGCTGCTGCACCTGCCGGGGGAGCCTGCTCTCCCTGCGCAGGGGGCGGGGGGGACAGGGGGCGTTGGGGGCGAAGGGGGCACAGGGGGGACTGTCGAGGGCGGGGAGGGGGAGGGGTTGCGGCGGGCAGCAGAGCGGTTTGCGTCGCTGCCGCTGGTGATGGCGAATGGGGCCGTGTACATGGAGGCCCTCGTGGTGCAGGTGAGGGTGGTGTTGTGGCGCATGGCCACTGTATTAAACAAGTATATGAGCCTGCACGCGAGGGTGATGGCGACCGGGGCCGTGTACATGGAGGCCCTCGTGGTGCAGGTGGGTGCAGGAGATGAGACGAGCTTGTGGGAGAGGTGCGGGTAGTGGTGAATGGGTGTTGGCGAACGGTGCCGTGTACAGGGTGCATGTGATGTGAGCGACAAGGCCCAGCCCGGCCCAGAAGGCCAGGCTTCATGTGGGGCGGGCGGAAGGCAGGGGAAATGGGCGTGCAGTGCAGTGCAGGTTGGCGACCGGTGCCATGTGCATGGAGGCCCTCCTGCTGCCAGTGGGATGGTCACGGATGCAATTTGTTTTACAATGCCATTCCCCTACTTGCTTCTTATGCCCTTCCCTCCCCACCCTCCTTGTTTCCCCAACCTGCTGCTCCCCCCCTCTCCTTGCTTCTCTCCCTCTTTCCTTGCCCGTATGCTCCCTCTCTCCCCACCAGCTGGGAGAGGCAGTGCTCTTCTCACAGGGCGGGCAGCGCATTGCCTTTGGGGACTCAAGGAGGCACCTCAACCCCCCTTCCTCCCTGACCCTCTCTCCCTTCCCTGCCCCTCTTCTCTCTTCCCCCATACTCGCACCAGCTGGGAGAGGCAGTGCTCTTCTCACAGGGCGGGCAGCGCATTGCCTTTGGGGACTCAAGGAGGCACCTCAACCCCCCTTCCTCCCTGACCCTCTCTCCCTTCCCTGCCCCTCTTCTCTCTTCCCCCATACTCGCACCAGCTGGGAGAGGCAGTGCTCTCCTCACAGGGCGGGCAGCGCATTGCCTTTGGGGACTCAAGGAGGCACCTCAACCCCCCTTCCTCCCTGACCCTCTCTCCCTTCCCTGCCCCTCTTCTCTCTTCCCCCATACTCGCACCAGCTGGGAGAGGCACTGCTCTTCTCACAGGGCGGGCAGCGCATTGCCTTTGGGGACTCCGCGCAGGTCAGCTGCCCCCATGCGCTCCTCTCCTCCTGCCCCTCTCCGCCCACCTGCCACTCCTTAACAACCGCTCTCTCTCTTCCCACCCACATGTATCCTGGAGGCACACACTTGACTCCTTGCTCACTTCTCTCCTCGCCCTTGTGCGCCCGTCTCTCACCTTTCTCTCCTCCCTTGCCTACCTCCCGTGCGTACCTCCCTTTGTGTCCGCGTCCGCCATCTCGCCCCCTCCTCTTTCCCCCCGCCAGGACGTATGGTCGGAGCTGGGGAGGCCGTGCTGCATGGGCGCCAAGCAGGTCATGCACGGTGGGGGGGGAAGGCTTCAAGGGAGGGGACGCGTGGGTGGGCAGGGGTGGCTTTGAGGGGAGGCGCGGTTGGGGCAGGGGTGGCTTGAAGGGGTGACAAGGGGCAGGGGTGGCTTGAAGGGGTGACAAGGGGCAGGGGTGGCTTGAAGGGGTGACAAGGGGCAGGGGTGGCTTGAAGGGGTGACAAGGGGCAGGGGTGGCTTGAAGGGGTGACAAGGGGCAGGGGCGCATGCGTTTCCTGGCAATGCATGGCGGACAGCAGCATCGAATGGATTCTCCCGGCCCTACTACTTATCATGCCTACTCCACCTTTTCCTCCATTCCTGTCCAACCATTGCCAACCTCCCCCCTGCTCCCAGCCCTCAGCGCTAACTCCTCTCCCTTCCCCCCCCCCCCTGTGCGCCGCTCCCCTCTGCAGGACTCTGCCAAGGCAATTCACTCCGCCCGTGCCCCGCCCCTCTCCTTCTCCCCCTCCTCGCCCCTCGTCTCCTCCCCCTTGCCCACGCTCTCCCCCTGCTCCACTCCCCCGGACTACATCTGGAGCTACTACACCCGAGGGCTCGATATTATCTTCAGTGGCCAGGTGAAAACAACAGAGAGCTTGCATTCAGGGGATTAACAAGGTAGAGGTTGTGTGTAAAAGGCGAGCTCCTCTGCATGTGGCGCAGCAAAACCCTCTCACCCGTGCTTGTCCATGCATGCATGCCTTCCTCACCCGTGCTTGTCCATGCATGCATGCCTTCCTCTTCGCCTCAAACCCACTCTCCCTCCCCACACCTTTGCTTCTTTCCATCTCTCCCACATTCCCCCCTCTGCCAGTTACAACGTGTGCAAGCTAGTCCTGTGCACCAACTTGTTCAACTCCCCTCCCCTCTTCTCCCCATCTACCCCTCTCTCCCCCCGACCATTCCTTCTACCCACCTTCTCTTAGAGCTACGAGGTGCGCAAGCTGGTGTTGCACACCAACCTACCGGGCCAGCCGGATTTCAACGACTACGTCAAGTGCAACTTCCGCATCCCCGCGCCCCATGCACGTGCGTTCCACCCGAGCCCACCGCTCCTCTCTTACATTCAAAACACTATGTCAAATGCAACTTCCTGCCAGCCGGGCTTCAACGACCATGTTTATTGCAAATTCCGTATCCCCGCGCCCCATGCACGTGCGTTACACACACCACCCCCACCCCCACCCCCCCCACCATCACCACTCTCCTCCTGTAAACTAAGCCTGCTGCCAGCCGGGCTTCAACGACTATGTTCATTGCAAATCCCGCATCCCCGCCTCCCACGCACGTGCGTTTCCCACTGCCCTCCCCCACCCCCACCACCACCACTCTCCTGTAAACTAAGCCTCCTGCCAGCCAGACTTCAACGACTACGTCAAGTGCAACTTCCGCATCCCCACCCCCCACGCACACACATGTGCATTACCCCACGCCCATCTCTCCTCACCCTGTAAACCACCCTCCCACCTCCCTTCTCCCTGCTGTCTGCTTCCCTGATTCTACTAGGGCCATGCTTAATGCTCTGTAAGATTTGCTGCCTCTTTCCCCTTGCACTCATTTCACCATCCTGCATGCCCATCGCTCTCAAGCCCTTCCCATCGCTCTCGAGCCCTTCCCCACCCACTCTGCATCTCTTCCTCCTTTCCCTTCCCCCTTTCACTGCACACGCCATGCATGAATCTCCCAGCCCCAGATGCCCCTGCCGGGTCCGACCCATCGCTCTGTATAACTCCTGACTCCAAGTGGGACCATGTGCAGGTGAGCGAACATGTAGCCTCACACGGGTGAATTACCCTGTCAGTTTTTTATGTTTGGGTACATTTCCGCGTGAAAAGAGTGCACCGAGGCAAGTTGCAATCAATTTGCCATAAAACTTCTTTCACCCATGCTGCACGTAACAGTACCTGGGTGGATGCATAGCAGGGAACGTTTTTTACCAGATCCTGACACTTTGAATCTTATCCTCATTTTCTTTGCGATTCAACAGAAGCTATTCGGGGGAGGTGGACGAGCGGCCATACAGACCGCAGGGGCCTTGCACAGGGCCTTTGGACCCACCTTTGTATACGGCTTCCGCCACGTGGCATTTGAGGTGAGCCGGATAACGCACACGCACTCGTGTCACGATCTGGATGCATGTATTCTTGTGAAGTTTGTTTTCGCATGTGTTGTCGGGGGTCTGTTGCGGTGCCTACATTTGTTTCTTTGTGAGACACTGTTGGTTTCTTGCAGGTGTTGAAGAATGGACACATCTGTACAGTCACCCTCTTCAAGGCGCAATGACTACTTTTCAGTGGCATGTACAGGAAGTTGGCATCTGCTGTTCCCATCCCCTTTCCTTTGTTAGCATTGCAATCCTTGCTTGTGTAAATATGTATATAGTATGAATAAATCACAGATACATGAGAATGAAGAAGATTTGATTATGGCGGCTGGCTGGCCTTTTCCGGGAAAATACGGTAGTTGGCTGGACGTGATCATAAAAGTGGTAGTTTGTAGTCAAATGGGCTGAAACACTGGAAACTGTGATGGTATGGCTGGCCTTTGTATTGTGTCTATAACGATGGATGCCAAACCCCCAGATAGATTCAATTTACAGTACAGAGCTGGAAGCATCTGATTTTGCAGCTGCGATGGCATTTGGGACTTGTGTGCTGTGGCGCTGATGGTACAGCGCAGTGCAGCCTTCCTCTCACGCGCCTCGCCATAGTACAGTAGAGTCACACCCCATCCCAGCGCGGCGGCGCACTAAAGCCTACGGCGTACGTGGCAGGCCCCTCTACTGTGGCAATCAGGTATGGTCATAAGGACCAATCACGCTGTAATCCGTCGACCGTGCTCGCGTGCGATACCCTCGCCGTTTCGAGTCAGCGATCTGCTGGCCGTTGGATCAAACATTGGGGTTACTTTTGTTGGTTCGCTCTGTCGGCGGCACCACCACACCTCATGCCGAGGCGAGGCAATTCCTCCCGAACCACCCCAACCAGCCCTTGCCCCCTCGAGGCACCCACCACAACACCACCATCACCAACTGTCCCCCTGCCGCATTTTGCATTTTTTCACATGTCTCCTGTCAACCCTGGTTTGAATTGGAACCAAATCAGCCCCACATCGCATCTACCACTTCCTTCACAACTGCGACTGTTCTTTCAAGGGAGGAGACTACCCTGCTCTCATCGTGACGCATCGCCTTTACAACGACCCGATTTTCCAGCCGTGGCGAATCGAGAAAATAGTATAATAAAACGTGCATTTGAGCCAGGAGCGCTTGTCTCTTGGATGCCTAAACACAGACCGACAATGGCCACGACTTTTCATCCGTCGCGTTTCCTCCATCTGCGACATGCGCTCCGCTCGGTTCTTCTCCTCGTCGCTGTCGGCCAATGGGGGTTCCCGACCGCCACGGCGAGTAAGCTTCTTTTTGGTCTCCAAATATTTTTTCCACCGCGCTTTGCGTACTATTCGGCACAAACTGCTTATGCCTGTTAATCCCCCCACTCCGAGTGGCATTCTCCACCTTTTTATCCACACGTCGCACAATTTTCCCCGCCTTGCCTTTCAAGACAAGTTGTCTCTCTCCCCAACTCGCCCCTAATCTACCGGCATTTTCCGCCATCTCTTCCCCCGCGCAGCGTACTCCACGGGGTGCGACCCGGCGACGGCGCCGCTGAAGCCGGCGGGGAAAAACAGCATATTCCGCTTCGCGAGCGTCAACTTCAACGCGGCCACGCGCAAGTGGGGCCTCGCTACCAGCGCCAACTGGACCGATTACCGCACGTCCACCCTCGGCCGCGTTCGCAACCAGGGCTCCTGCGGTACTGCCATCTTTGAGGCGCCTTTTTTTTGGGCGACTTTTTGTAGGCGTTTTTTGAGGCGCTTAAAAAATTGATTACCGCACGTCCACCCTCGGCCGCGTGCGCATCCAGGGCTCCTGCGGTACGACGACCGCCGCCAACTTCCTTTTTTCGCTCTCGCCCTTCCCGCGGTCGCCACGTCGTTTCGTCACTGCCTGCGTCTCGACGTCTCAAAAACCGCATCGTCCGGTCGTCTGCTCTGCTCCCACCCCATTCGTCAATGTTCGTCGGACCACACTCTTATCTTTCCAAACCTCATCTCTCCCACCCCCCGCATTCTCCACCGGCCCCCCACCTCCTCCCCGTTCCCTTTCCCGTCCCCCGCCACCTCTCCCTTCCCCCCAACAGGCAGCAGCTGGGCGATGGCGGCGGTGACGGCGGTGGAGCTCGCATACGCCGTGGCGCGCAACGACTCGTGCGACATGCAGGCGCCGCGTTACCTGTCGACGCAGCAGGTGCTGAACTGCGGCGACAGCAAAAAGGGCAACTGCACGGGCGGCTGGCCCACGACTGCGCTGGACTATGTTGTGAAGACGACGGGGAAATACGGGGGTATGGTGACGGAGGGTAATTACCCCTACAAAGGAAACTCGACGTGCACATACGGCACGAAGGGGAACGCGATGTGCGCATCTGGCAAGGACGACGACGACGATAGCGACGACGATAAGAAGTTGTCGTCGTGCGACACGTCCAAGGTGCGTCGGGGGGCCGTTGGTGCGCGGTTTCGAGTTTTGGGCTTATAACGAGGATAGTACCTGGTTAATGTGCATGGGACGAAATTATGCATGATACCATGGCAGGGCGGGGTAGGACAGGAGAGGGCACGGCAGGGGCATGTCACGGCACGTCCTGAATATTGGCGTGCTCGTGTGCTTGTTGGTGTGCCGTGTGCGTGCTGGTGTGCTCATTGCGTGCCGTTCTGGTGTGCGGTGCCATGCGTGCGCGCCATGTGTGCGTGCCATGCGTGTGTGCGTGCATGTGTGCATGTGTGCGTGCGTGCGTGGTTGACATGGCAGGTGAAGAAGCAGGCGACGGCCATCGGCATCCGGTCATACGAGAGCATCGACTACTACGGCTGGCTCGGCCTCATCCTCGCCGTGCAGGTGCGTGCGGGAAGCGCGTGAGGGGGGCGGGGGGATGGGGAGGAAAGGGGGACGGAAGAGGGAGCTGCCATGCAGGTCCATGCAAAGTAGGGGTGGGATGGGGGGGAACGGTGGAAGGGTGGGGGGTTCAGGGAAGTGAGACATTGAGGAGAGAGTAGAAGTAGGGCCGGAGCAGAAGGAACCTCCACGCCTCATGCCGAGTACCGCGTAGCGTCACAGCGTACAGACAGCTTTGCCCGCTCGCTTGCAGCCCCTAGCAGAGAAATGGCCCTCATGAGACTCACGCCCCCTGATAATCCCCGTTTTCACTGCGTCAGCCCATGCTTCCCATCCTCCCTCTGCCTCCAATGCTACTGCCCTGCATAACCTCTCTGCTTCCCCTCCGTCCTCTTGCCCAACCCCCCCCTTCCCCCCTCCCCCGCCCATCCGCCAGGTGCATCCGGCCATCGCGCTGGTGAACTCCAAGCCCGACTCCTTCCGCAACTACCAGTCGGTGAGCCCTCCCTGCTCTCCCACCCGGCCCCATTGCCACTAGCATCGCCATCAGCATCGCCATCAGCATCGCCATCAGCATCAGCATCAGCATCGCCATCAGCATCAGCATCGCCATCAGCATCAGCATCAGCATCGCCATCACCATCAGCATCAGCATCACCATCACCAGCACCAACGCCAGCACCTTTGCTACTACCCATGCCGAATCGAGACGCCCTTAAAAGACAATCAACAGCAACACCAACCTGACCACCAGTGTCGCTTCTGCCTGCTAGCTACTGAGTTTCGCCCCTGTCTTTCCCTGCTTTCCCCGCTACCCTGCCCTGCCTGCCTGGTGTACCAGCTCACCTGCGTCAAGCTCACTCACTCACAACACACCCCCTTCTTTACCCTCACACAACCCCCCTACTCCACTCCCCCGTATCCCGCACCTCCCCCAGGGCGTGTACGCGGATTCGTCGTGCGCGGAGGGGCAGGTGGACCACGCTGTCGTGGTGATGGGTTATACCTTCGCGTCGCCCGGACCCCTCTGGATCCTCAAAAACTCATGGGGCAAGACGTGGGGCATGCAGGTGAGGGCAAGACGTGGGGCATGCAGGTAAAGGGGGAGAGTGGTTGAACGTGTGCGTGTGTGCATGTGCTTGTGTGCATGGCAATGTGCTTGCTTGCATGGGCAAAGTGGGCATGTGATGTGAGCATGTGGGCATATGTGGGCATGTGGGTACATCTTGTGACGTGTGCATGCATGTGGCATGTGTGGGTTGGTGCGCGTGGCTGCATGCACATGCCCACCCCCCTGGCGCGCACATGCCCACCCCCCTGGCGCGCACATGCCCACCCCCCTGGCGCGCACATGCCCACCCCCCTGGCGCGCACATGCCCACCCCCCTGGCGCGCACATGCAAGGCTACATCTTTTGAGTCAAGTAATAAATGCAGATGCCCCACTCCCCTGCTGCCGCATGCACGGATACATGCACATGTATTAAATAAATGCACTTGTCCCACTCCCTTACGGCCATGCTCCCTACGTGCACGGATACATGCACATGTATTAAATAAATGCACTTGTCCCACTCCCTTGCGGCCGTGCTCCCCACGTGCAGGGATACATGCATCTGGCCATGCAGGGCGGGCTGGGGGCATGCAACATCCACTCTGTGCCTGCACTCGTGCCCGTCATCCGCAGTAAGTGCACAATCACTGTCCCCAGGCACGCATGCACGTCACATCACATCACAATCATATGCATGACTTTGAGTTGACTCAAGAGGCATGCAACATCCACTCAGTGCCAGTACTCGTGCCCGTCACACGCAGTAAGTGCGCAACCACGCTCCACACGCACGCACATATGCATTTGTACATGCATCACGCCCTCCATCCCCTTCCCTCCCTACCCTCCCTCCCTCACCTCTTTTTTCTCCCCCCTCCTTCCACCCTCACCCTCCCTCCTCTCCTTCCCACCCCACTCCTGCCAGACTCGGATCCGTGCAGTGCTGGTGAACCCTTTTGGCAATAGGAAGTGCATTCTGCACAGCAGCAGCAACACCGGATCCCCGTTCCCACCTCTATTGCCCCACCCTCTCCCCCCATCCTCCCTTCCCCCACCCCTGCCAGACTCGGATCCGTGCAGCCTGCTGGTGAACCCCTGTGGCGGCGGAGAGTGCATTTCGCGCGACAGCGGCAAGTACAAGTGCAACTGCCCGCCTCAATTCGTCAAAGTCAAGAACTCCGACGGCACCGAGTCCTGCACGCCAGGTGGGTGCTCCCACGTGCTCCCACGTGATTCCGCTTTCACTTCTTGCCTTGCACGCTGTGTGGCCCCCACCCACGTGCAAGTCAGGAACTGTGATGGCACCCAATCCAATCCAATCCAATCCAATTCAATTCAATCCAATCCAATCCAATCCAATCCAATCCAATCCAAACCAATCCAATCCAATCCAATCCAATCCAATCCAATCCAATCCCGCCCGCCAGGTAAGTGGTCCCCTTCCCACTTGCGCGCCAGGTAGGTTCCTCCCTTCCTCCTCGCGCTCCCAGCCGCTTCTCTTGTCCACTTTGCCCGCTCTTCTTCCTTCCACCTCATGCCACCTCAGGTTAGGTGCTCTGTCTTTCTGCTCAAGCTGACCCTGCCCTGTCTTCCCCTGTTGTTCCTTCCCCCCACCTCCTCCCTCCCTCTTCCCTCTTCACCCTTCTCCAGTGGTGGTGTGCACGCGAGCGGACATCAACCCGTGTGGAGTGGGCACGTGTCTCAATGACGGCAAGGGAACGCACACCTGCCTCTGCCCGCGCGGATTCACGCTCGGCACCATCGCTGTCGGCTCTGACACCTGCGTGCCCTGTAAGGCCTGACACACGCGCTATACAGCCACACATTACGTTGCGTGCCCTGTGAGGCCCTCACGCTCACGGATAGAGCCATGTGTGTGCCCTGCAAGGCTCGGATACCCGTGTGTGTGCGGTTGATGCCCTTGTTTACTGTGCCAGCCAAGGTGGTGTACGGACTCTACACCATTCCCAACGCTCTCTGATTGCTCAGCGTCCTTTGGCCTCTTTCCCCTCCCAACCATTCGCCCAATCTCCAGCGGACAAGACCATAAAGAGCATCAAGGTGCCGCTGACGGTGCCGGCCAAGGTGGTGTACGGGCTCTATGGCATTCCCAAGGACCAGTTCTACGACCAGAACCCCGACCTGGTAACCCCCTTACCCTGTGGTGGTAACCCTGTTATGCTGAATTTCCGACCTGGTAGCCACGTTACCCTATATTGTTACCCTTGTTAGTTACCCTGTCTGTCCTGACCTGGCTCAGTTACTCTGTATTCTTGATCTGCCAACCCTATTGCCTTGCATCCTGCCCCTCTGCCGCACCTCAGTTTCTCACGTCGCCCCCTTCTCTCTGGTTAATCCCTCTCCTCTCCCACATCCCTTCCCAATCCCCTCCACATCTCCAACCATCTCCACCCATCTCTACCGCGCCAGGACTCGGACGACAGCAAGATAAAGAAGGGCAAGAAGGTGAACGTGAAGGCCACCTCGGATACCATCAACTGCGATCTCTTCTACCCCTGGAACTGGGTACGACCCCCCTCCCCCCTTCTTCCCCCTCACGTATTCTTTCTTTGAGTCGCCTCAAAGGAGGTGAACGTGAAGGCCACCTCGGATTCAGGCTTGTACTGATGAAGGCTTGCAAAAGCCGAAACTAGTTTGCAATGTCCCTGATTCCTTAGTGAAGATTTGTTTTAAACTGGCTCTCTCAACAACGCTTTCAAGCTAAGCACACCAGGCTCCTTCCGCCATTTTCATGGAGTTTGTTTTGTTATCCTAAACAACACGAGTTGATGGAAGTAAGGCCTCCGCAGCCCACCTGTCCTCTCTTGACAGCTCCTATACCATCAACTGCGATCTCTTCTACCCCTGGAAGTGGGTACTCTTTTGCCTACCCCTGGAACTGGGTATGATCTCTTTTATCTACCCCTGGAACTGGGTACAATCTCTTTTATCTACCTCTGGAACTGGGTACGATCTCTTTTATCTACCCCTGGAACTGGGTACGATCTCTTTTATCTACCCCTGGAACTGGGTACGATCTCTTTTATCTACCCCTGGAACTGGCTACGATCTCTTTTATCTACCCCTGGAACTGGGTACGCCCGTCCCCATCACGCACTCTTGAGAGTGGTGTGCACCTCAAACGCTCTCTTGTACCCCTGCACCTAGCTGAGCTTACTGCTCACGGCATGGTGTCAAGCCCAATGTGTGCCTGGTGCAACTTGTGTGTGCCTGGTGCAACTTGTGTGTGCCTGGTGCAACTTGTGTGTGCCTGGTGCAACTTGTGTGTGCCTGGTGCAACTTGTGTGTGCCTGGTTCAACTTGTGTGTGCCTGGTACAACTTGTGTGTGCCTGGTGCAACTTGTGTGTGCCTGGTACAACTTGTGTGTGCCTGGTTCAACTTGTGTGTGCTGCACTCGGGTCACTCGGCCTGGGACCCCGCACCTTCCATTCCATCCTTGCCCCGCTCTGCACCCCACCTCCCTTCTCCCCTTCCTTCCATTCAATGAACCTCCCCATCCCCTCTCCGTTCTTCCCTCCTCTCTCCACTTCTCCGCTCCCCGTTCCCCACCCCTACCCTGCCTCTCCCCCCATTTCCTTCTCCAACAGGGCAATCGCTGTGGGCCGGTGGCAGCACTGTTTGGCATCACCATCGCTCGCCTCCAGGACCTCAACCCGGGCCTCACCTGCCCCACCGGGGCGTACCCGGGCCAGCAGGTGCGTTGAAGTTCAGTGCGTTCCAGTGCGGTGCAATGTGATCATGCAGCGCAGCACTATGTGATGTGAGTCCCCAACACGTGTGGGAGCACAGCATGAGGAAGCAGTGCTTTCTCTCCTGGCCAGCCTTTGCCCTCCCTCCCACCCACCAGCGGGCTGTGCGGGATGGCAGTAGGCCCTCCAGCCCTGTGCGGGATGGCAGTAGGCCCTCCAGCCCTGTGCGGGATGGCAGTAGGCCCTCCAGCCCTGTGCGGGATGGCAGTAGGCCCTCCAGCCCTGTGCGACCAATATCGCTCACAACACAGCTGCTTGCAACCTGACCCGTATTCTTACTCCTTCCCCCCTTCCTTTCTCCCTCTCCTCCCCTGCAGATCTGTGTGCGGGAGGGAAGCGGCCTGGCCATCCCGCTGTGTGCGCAGTATCACGTGATAGCGCCCCCGGACACGTGCAGGAGCATCAAGCAGCAGTACTCGCTCTCCTGGTCCACCTTCTTCGCCCTCAACCCTGGTGTCTTCTGCGCCAACCTCTACCCCGCTGCCACCGTCGATGGACAGAACTCCATCCCCAGTGGCGCACAGGTGGGCTCGTGTGGTGCACAGGTGGGCTGGTGTGAGTGACGCATGATCAAAGGGTAGATGCTTTTGTTGAGGAGAGTTGGTTGTTTCCACCACACGTACAACAGCCACCACCAACACCCCACCCACCCACCACCCCTCCCTCCACTTCTCTCACACCCACCACCACCCCTCTGTCCTCCCTTTCACCCCTCTCCCCTGCCCGCCTGCCCCTCAGATCTGTGTAAAGGCGGCATTCAACGCAACAATCAACTATCTCGCGCCCCGAGACACATCGGCCATGCCTTACAACGCAGCATTCACGGACCTCCTCACCACACAGCACCACTCCCTCCTCTACTCCTCTCACACCTCTGGCCTGCTCTCCGCACACAGCTTGCCTCAGCAGCAGCAGCGCCAACAGCCAGAAGGTCAGCAGCAGCTGCTGCAGCAGCAGCAAGTGCAGCCGTTGCAGAGGAGGGGGCGGTGCCAGGCGTCGTACACGGTGGTGAGGGGGGACTTCTGTGCGCGCATCATAGCCCTCAAGTTCCAATACAACACACGCCGCATGGCCTCTCTCAACAACGGCTACGTGTGCACCAACGCTCGGCTCTTTGTCGGCCTTGTGCTGTGCACCTTCCGCTAGCCGTATGCTTGGGTCAGCAGTGGGTGCCTATTCATCTGGGTTTCAGCAGTTTACACCCATCACCACCACCCATCATCCCCACCCATCACCCACCATCTGACATGCACAGCATTTTTTTAGATAGTAGTATACCTTATCTGACTGCATGGCTGATTTAGATGCTGAGGTGAGATAGGGTAGGGCTGAAACATCTTGTTAGTGACAGCCTAGGATCCAAGTAGGGGAATGGTGTGGTGTATTAGAGGAAATAAATTTACGTATATGGAACATGTAAGGGATACAGGATAGGAGGTCTGGGAACTTCTACAGTTCATCACATATGTAATGGTGAATTGTACAATCTGGTTTCTGTAATTAGTGTGAATTCAAGACGGCTATTCTTTCTTTCGCAGCATGCATATAAGGAGCGACAAGTGCAGCAAACTCGTGTAACCCTGCAGCAGCACCCGAACCACTTCCCACCCCAACGTTCCCCCAATTATTGCTTCCCCCACCCACCCTAGACCCTGCACCAGAAGCATCATGCTTTGGAAAGAGGAACTCGGCAGAGGGTGAGCGGACGAGCCCCACACGATACCCTGCAAGCCACGCCCTCACACACAGCACCCACGCTCCTACCCTGCTGCTGCTGCTGCTGCTGCTGCTGCTGCTGCTGCTCGCACCCCCCTGCCCCTCGCCTGCTCCCCCCATCCCTCCCCCATGCAGGGGTCCAAGCGAGCCCAGGGAGAGGAGGGCAGAGCGGCGGACGGCTAGAGGTGTGCCCTGCACCCACCCCGTGTAGGTCAGAGGAGGGGGCGGGGTGCTGCTACCACTGCTGCTGGGGCCTGTGAGGTTGGCAGCGCTGTGCCACTCCCTGCCCAAGTCGCCCCACTCCCTCATCCACTGTTCCACTCCTCCCTCTCTCACACCACCCACCCCAGCCTCACCACCACCACCCTTTCCTCCCACTCCCTCCCCTCCCATCCCCCCTTCCAACCCCTTCCCATCCCTCCCAACCTCTCCTCCACCCTCTCCTCCCATGAACCCAGCCACAGCCAGCCTGGCATCCCCCTGAAACGCGCTGTGCAGCGCCAGCAGCCACTCACAGCTCCCAGCGTCCTGCCCCAGGCCCCCCTGCGCCCTCCTCACCACCGCCTCTGCGTTCGCCCCTGTCAGCAGCACCAGCACCTTTCCCCTTGCCGCCCGGGCCAGAAAATCGAATCTCACAGAATCTGAGGCGAAAGGAGCGGCAGAAAAAGAGGCATGGAGCTCTAATGCTGCTTGTGCCGATGCTGGTTGTGCCGACGCTGACGCCGATGCTGGTGGTGCCGAAGCTGATGGTGCCGACGTCGATGCTGCTGATGCTGCTGATGCTGCTGATGCTGACGCTGACGAAGGCACTACCACGGGCAACACAGTGAGTCGTTGCTCCTCCACTGCCCACGCTGCCTGGCTCCATGCCGCCACCCGCTCCCACTCCCCACCCTCCCCACCCTCCCCATTCTCCACTCCTCCCTGCCCCATCACCCCGCCCAGCCCCTTAGCCTGCCCACGCTGTCCCTCTCGCCCCACGCCCAGCAGCACGAGCAGCTCTGCAGGCACGCCCAGCCCACTGCCCGAGGCATTGAACCCCACATGCCGCATGCACCCCACCACCACCTCCACCACTGCCCGCGCATCCAACCCCCCTCCCTTCCCCACCGCCGGTGGCGGGGAGAGTGGGTCAGGTAGGAGCAGGAAGGAGAACTCCGGCTGTGGCCCCATCCGCCCCACACTTGCTCTCTCCCCTTCCCTCCTCCTCGCGTTCGCCTCTGGTGTTTCTTGCCCCTCCGTTCCCCCTCCGCCCTCGTCTGCCCTCACTGCCCCCTTATCTCCTCCCTTCCCTTGTCTCTCCAGGTCTCGTTCGCTCTCACTCCCCCCCGTCCCTCTCAACCCCTTCTCTATATCCTTCTCCATCCCCCCACCATGCAATCCCTCCCTCCTCCACACCTCCCCAGGAACCACCATCCCCGCACGCTGCCGATACCCACCGCCCACCGCCGCCCAATCCACGCACCACTTGTCAAACGCTGCTTCCGCCACCCACCGGTACCGCTGCAGGGCGGCATCATGCATGTCAGTCCAAAACTCCCCGCCCGCGTCGACACCGCAGCGGGAGGAGAGAGTCCGGAGGGAGGAGAGGAGGGAGGAGCGGGCGGCATTGAGAGTGGACGCTGCTTGCCGCCCGTCGAGAGAGAGGAAGAAGCGGATGGAGGAGAGGCGGAGGGATGAGAGGGAGGAGAGTGCGGGGGTGGGTATGGAGCGGAAGAGAGCAACGTAGGGGCGCAGCCAGAATATGTAGTCAAAGAGCTTGCGGAATATGCCTGCAGGGGATGAACAAGGGAAGGGAGAAGGGAGGAACATGGGGGAAGTGGGGTTGCCTATTCCTCAGGTGCCTCACGAAGAGAGCGACGTAGGGGCGCAAGTCAGACGATGCACTCAAAGAGCTTGCGGAATATGCCTGCATGCACGGGGGGTGATAAATGGAGGGAAATGGGGTGAGTGGGGTTTTACATTCCTGATGAGTCTCAGGAAGAGAGCGATACAGGGTCGCAGCGGACGCACGCAAAGAGCGTGCGGAGTATGCATGCAGGGGAACGATGCAGCGGGGAGGAGGAAAGTGGGCAGGGGTAGAATGGCTGTCCATTCTTTAGGCGACTCATACAAAGGCCCGCCCACTCAAAGGCTTTCCCCAGGCCAGGGCTGCCCCAATGCACCCAACGCAACGCAAGCAGGTGGCATGTGCATACGTGTAGATAGGTAATTTTTCGAGACGTCTCAAAAAAACCCCAAAGCAAGCAGGTGGCATGTGCATACGTGTAGATAGGTAATTTTTCGAGACGTCTCAAAAAAACCCCAAAGCAAGCAGGTGGCATGTGCATGCGATGCTCACCCACTGTAGTAAGTGCGGTGGCTCATAAGTCCTCACCCACCTAAGCAGGGCAGCTTGTGCCTGAGCCACCACACTCACTATACTGCAACCCATGGTGCTGAACCATGCTCATGAGGCGCTGAAGTGCTTCCATGGTGTTGCGCGCATGTGTGTTGAGACATCTCAAACCCACCTGAACCGGATGGCATGCTCATGAGGCGCTGAAGTGCTTCCATGGTGTTGCGCGCATGTGTGTTGAGACATCTCAAACCCACCTGAACCGGGTGGCATGCTCATGAGGCGCTGAAGTGCTTCCATGGTGTTGCGCGCATGTGTGTTGAGACATCTCAAACCCACCTGAACCGGGTGGCATGCTCATGAGGCGCTGAAGTGCTTCCATGGTGTTGCGCGCATGTGTGTTGAGACATCTCAAACCCACCTGAACCGGGTGGCATGCTCATGAGGCGCTGAAGTGCTTCCATGGTGTTGCGCGCATGTGTGTTGAGACATCTCAAACCCACCTGAACCGGGTGGCATGCTCATGAGGCGCTGAAGTGCTTCCATGGTGTTGCGCGCATGTGTGTTGAGACATCTCAAACCCACCTGAACCGGGCGGCATGCTCATGAGGCGCTGAAGTGCCTCCATGGTGCTGCGAGCAGGCCCCATCCACTCTCTCCGCGCCTCCACCCACTCCCAATGCAACCCCACCACCTCCCACGCCCTTCTCTCGCGCACCAACTCGTCATACTCCTCCCTTGCTGCCGTGTGCACAGAGGGAGCAGAGCAGATGATGCGTGAGTCGGGTGGTCTACTGGGCGAGTACACAGAGGCGAGAGATGCCCTTTGAGACTCAGTCAAGGGTAACAGCTGACAGCTTGTAGAATTGGCTTTTAGATGAAGGAATCACGAGAGGTGAGCACAGTGGGCCTGTCGTGATTCACAGTGGAGTCAAGCTTCACGGTGCAGAGGCAGCAAACGATAGAGATAGTAGAGGGTGGGAGGGGAGGGGAGATGAGCAGCACATGGCAGGTGGTGGTGGTAAGGATGTGGTGCACATCGGGAGTTTCAGAGAACAGTGGCCGCAAAATAGACAGATAATAGAGGGTGGGAGGGGAGGGGAGATGAGCAGTATGTGGCAGGTGGTGGTGGTGAGACAAGGAAGAGAGGAGGAGGCATATGGCGGGTAATCACTCACTGTGTGCACGCATGCATCATCAATGAATGCATGTATATACATCATCAATAAATGCATGTATGTACATCATTAGTAAATGCATGCATATACATCATCAATAAATGCATGTATATACATCACCTCGAGCATACATCATCTGCTGCCTTTCCACTTGACACATGAGCGCCATGCACCTCTCCATGCCGTCCACTCCTCCCCTCCACACACCCCCTTCCCTTCCTGCCTTCCCACTCCTTCCCCCTTCACCTCCCTCTCCCCCTCCTGCGTCCCCAGAAGCAGCAGCAGGGGCAGCAGCGGCAGCAGCAGTGAGGGAGGAAACGGAAGCAGGTAAGATGGGCAGGAGAACGGTGAGAGCAGCAGAGAGGGCGGCGGCAGTGGGGTGGGTAGAGGTGTTGGGGGGACGGAGGAAGGAGAGGAGGAGGGGGAGCGAGGAGGGCGGAAAGAGTTGGATGGCGGAGGGCGGAGAAGCAAGGAGGGTGCGGAGCTCCTGTTGAGAAGAAGAGAGAGGGGAGAGGATGAGAGAGGAGGCGGAGAGAGGGGAGAGGACGAGAGAGGAGGTGGAGAGAGGGGAGAGGACGAGAGAGGAGGCGGAGAGGGGAGAGGCAAATCGAGACAAGAGGAAAGAACATCACCCTCCAATGAAACGAGAAGCCCCACACTTCCCCACCCCACACTCCCCCACCCCACACTCCCCCACCCCACACTCCCCCACCCCACACTCCCCCACCCCACACTCCCCCAACCCATACTCCCCCACGCACGTCCCCGTTGCCCCTCGCCCCACATGCACTTCCTGGCTAAACAAGTCTGGTTTTGTTGAGACACCAAAAAAACGCATTTTCTTTCTCATCCCCCACCCGAACCCGCACGCACCTCCCTGCCCGCCCCTCGCCCCAAACACCCCCCACCTCCCTGGCCGCGCTCAGCACGCGGTCCATGCTGGCACCACTCCTCGCCCGCCATTGCGCCACGTCAGCGATCAGCGCTGCCAGCTGGCGGTTGCTGAGCTGGAGGGCCAGGCGCGTGGGGTCCCTGGGGGTGTTGGGGTCAGGAAGACGTGTGCGCAAGGGAGATGCAGCACGGGCAGAGGGGGAAACATTCAAACCGCAATGAACCATTCTGTACAGGCGTTGATGGCGTGTTGGGGGGAGGGGGAGGTGGGGGGAAGAGAGGAAGGATAGAATGAGAAAGGATAGGCGCATGCATGTGCTTGCTTGCAGTCAATCCTGCCTAGACCCTCGCCACACCCACCATTGTCACTCCCTCCTCTCGAAAACCCACTTACCACAACCCCTCAATCCCCCTCGCTTCACCCTAAACACTGTACTGACTCTTAGGTGAGTGTTTCTAAACCAAACCTTTGCTGCAGTTCCGTACCTCTGCTCCAGGTCCGTCAGTGCCAAGCCGAACCCCTCCGACAGGCCCGGCAGAGAATCAACTGCATCTAGAGCCCCTCCTGACGATGACATGGTTACCACATTGCTGGTTACCACACCGCTCGTTACATCACCGCGCAAAAACAACTCCCCTTCCCGGGGTCCCGTGTAGCTTGCGCCACTTTCTGCATCCCCCTTTGCGCCCGCTACCCCCAACGTCCCCGCGCCCCCCGCTCCACTGGCGGAAGCTACAGCCGCGGAGGGGTCAGCGCGGGGGGGATTGGCGGAGAGAAGCGAGATGGTGACAAGCAGGGAGCCCATCAGCGCGCCAAGCGCAAACGGGCGGAGGAAAGGGCGGAACGATCCACTGGAAGAATACGGGGAGGGCACGGACAGGGTAAGGGGGAGGTGGGGCGGGAGCTGAGAAGCAAAGCGGGGCGGAGGTGAGGAGCGCAACGACGGGCGCGGAAGGCGGGTAGTGGAAGCAGGGAAGGGGAAGGACGGGAGCGGAAGGAGGGGAGCGGAAGGAGGGGAGCGGAAGGAGGGGAGCGGAAGGAGGGGAGCGGAAGGAGGGGAGCGGAAGGAGGGGAGAGGAAGGAGGGGAGAGGAAGGAGGGGAGCGGAAGGAGGGGAGAGGAAGGAAGGGAGTGGAAGGGTGGAAGCGGAAGGAAGGGAGCGCGCGAAGGTGTAAGAGAGAGATTACTATGTGGTGCCTGATTACTATGCGCGAGGGTGGAGACAAAACTCGCCTGATCTGCGAGTCGTGATGCATTAGGCTGCTCGGCGCGCCGAGCGCCGCGAGAAACGACCGCCACGCACGCATGCACTCCTCGGGGTCGACACGTGGCCGCTGGTCGGAGCGCGTGGCGCCTCGGTGCCACGCGGCCATTCTGCCGGCCTCGGATTGATGAACGGGAATCGTGCTGAGCTGATTGCATTTGTTGCGAACAAAGTCCACCCCAATTCAGTTTTGAGTTTAAACGCATCTCGATATACTGGAGGCAGCACAGTTGCGGGTTCTAGAACAAAACATCTTCACATAAAAGTAAGATGATTTACCCGTAGCTTGGGGATCATGGAATAAATTCATACATGCGAACCATAGGTAATAATGATGATGAAGACTTTACATCCGTGTCCGAATTACCAGACACAGGTGGTGACAGCAGAGGTCACCTCAGTGGCTGCCTGTGGCTAGCAGCAGCTTGGAGCAGAAGAGCTGCCAGCACCACGCACGCTCTACTATCTATCATACCAACATCTCGCTGTCTCCCCAAACACATCTGCTGTTGGCCTTGACTCTGCGGCTGACACGGCTGAGGTAGCGGACACGGCTGTCGTGGTGGAAGCTGCAGCTGCTGCTGCAGCAGCGGCGGCGGCAGGGGTGGCGGCGCAGCAAGGCACTCCTCCATAGGACCAGCACCAGTGGCGGCAGTCAGGGGCGGCAGGCAGAGGTCATGTGGGCTTGCCACAAGGCTGGGGACAGCTTGTGAGGCAAAGCAGCTCCCTGTGGTCCCAAGCAATGGCCCTGGCAAGAATGCCGCTTTTGCTTCTGCTGCAGTAGCACCAGCTGCTGCTGCTGCTGCTGTTGCTGTCGCTGCTGGTGGTTGCGGTGGTGCTGCTTGTGTTGCAGGCAATGGCTGCACAAGGGCCGCTTGTCCGGTAGTGCCAGCCACAGGCTCCTCTCTCCCCCATGCCTTGATGTCCCTCGCGCATGCAGCACGCCCGACCGTCTCTTGGCCCTGACACGTCCCAGGGGCGCTGAGTGAGAGGTCCAGCGACAGGTGCTCCCCCTCCCCTTTCTCATCCTCCCTCTGCTCCTCCTGCTTGCAGCAGCGCCAGCTCATGAGAAAAGTTCCTTGAGCACATGCACTGATGCGGGCACGGGCTGGACCGGCAGCCATGGCAGCAGCAGCAGCGGGGGCAGCACCGTCTGCATGTTCCCGCACGCCCCCCTGCTCTCCTCCTCCGTGGCCGCCCCACGCCAAGCCGTCTGCTCGAACTAGACTGCCCATCCTCGTTGTATGCAGCTCCGATACTCGCGCGCTCACTGCCACCCTGTTGTTGCCACTCCACGGATCAGCAGTCGCTGCGATGTTCTCCGTGGCGTTCGCTGCAGCAGGGAGCATCGCGGCGAGCACAGGGAAGCAGGCAGCAGCACCGGCGCCACAGAAAGCAGCGCCGGCACTCGTGTGAGTGGAGCCAGCGCGTGCCGCCCCTCCTGTCATCGCCATGTCTGTGACGTGCCGGCTCTCCTCCTCCACATTCCCCCGCAGTGCTTCACTCTCGCCAAGGCCCATCACCATGTAGGCAGCCGTGCTCGCCCTCTCGCTCGCCCTGTCGCTCGCACTGTCGCTCGATCTGGCACTCGCCCTGTCGCATGCGTCGCAGGGTGCGCCCACGCTGAGAGGGCTCGCGAGAGGGCTGGACGCGGGGCTGCTGCGGAGCGACATCGCCGCGCTTAGCGCCGCGTCTAACGGTCCAATGGGCGAATCGTCAATCGATATGGGCGACCACAAACTTCGGGTCGCCGGTTGACTGCCAGTGCTGGCGAACTGCTGCGAAACCGGCGAACAGTTTTCGCCAGCAGCAGCGCCGCGAGTTTCCCTCGCTACGTTGGCGGAGAATCTGGCGCGGAGGGCGGAAGGGGAGGCGCGGGAGATTTCTAGGGGCGGGGGAACCCGACGGGCGGCGGCGGGGCGAGGGCAGGAGGCGCCGGCCTCGTGGTTGTGCGCGCAGCGCGCGCGAACCACCGTGAGCTGCGGGCGCTTGGGGTCGAAATCGACGGTCTTGGTGGCGCGACACGGGTTGCGAGCTCGCGACCACGAACACTTGTAATAAGACCTGGCGGAATCGACGCGAGACGGCAAAGGATCGATTAGTATAAGATTGGTTGAAGATTCAGTAAGATCAGAAGAGAATGGTATTGCGGGGATGTAGCGGCAGTGGGCATGGGGGGAGAAGAACGCGAGGGGCAGGGGTCATCGAGATTGTTGAGCGGACAAGCAGCAGCATCAGCATCAGCATCAGCATAAGCATAAGCATAAGCATAAGCAAAAGCATGTAAGGTACCTCATGACAGTGTTCTTGCTAATGCGCTTCTCGCCGTACTTCAGCCACGCGTGGCCGTCAGCGTTAACGACGTCCGTCAAAGACTGCAGGTCCGGCCGGTTGATTCGGACCGCCATCACCGCCGGCTCTTGCGGCGCCGCCACTGACGCTGCCGCCATGGGACTGTCGGCTGCTGGTGCTATTGCTCCTGAGCGGATACGGCGAGTTTTATACGGCGGTCCACCGGGATCCTCGGCGCGATATCTGGCGGAAGAACAGGGCTCGGAAGCAGCGCGTGAGAGCAAAACGCTGCTTCCGAGAATTTGCTGGCTATCTGTTGTCTCAAGGTGGAAATCCATGGCGGACGCGCGTAGTGGAAACTAACGGATGATGCGGGGAGAGGGCACAGGGCCACAGTAATCAAGCAAATATTCACACAGCTATTATTCCAGGTCTGCTGTCTTTCTCCTTGTGTCCGTGGGTGGATGGTCGCTCGTGCAGGAAAAGGTAACAGCAGTCCTGCATTTGCACATAAGTCTTCCCGCTCGGCTCGGGGTCTTTCGCGAGAAAGTCGCGTTGTTTGCAAGCGATCTCTGACGAGCAAATTGCCGTTCCCAGCTTTGTTTGTTTCCCGTTGGCACTGCTCCGTCAACAATTGACGCACAACACATTCAGTTTTCCCTCAAGTCGCTCGTGAAGGAGGTGGTGAGCCACTGGGGTCATACGGACGGATGTGCGCTGCCAGGTCAGATCAGAAGCAGCATTCGTCAAGCTAGTCAAGCGGAGACGAAGTGCAAGAGTTGCATCCACAGTGGACGCGCATCACGTTAAGACTATTCCGCGTATACAGTGTTCGATTGTGTAAACCATTCTTCACACGAGATACAAATCCAATCTCTCACGAAGCACACGGCATTTCACAAATACTATCCGCAGAACTCAAGAAACCGCTTCACACTCGTTTCAGACTCATTAAAAAAGTGCTTGGCACCCCAATTTGCGGCACAAAGCGTACTTACCTATTAACCACACGGTTTACCACACCTTATGTTCACTGTAGATAGATGGCCCTCAGTTTCCCAAGCACAGAGGGTGGCAGGTCGGGCTCCCCAAACAGCATGCTTTGCCCGCCACTGCCTGCACCCATGTCAGGCACATCACTGCCCGGCACCACTGGCTTGGGCCCACACAGAGCACCGTGCTGCTGTGAAAGCAGCTCGTCCAGCTGCCCCCCTGCCTGGGCAAACACCTGCCACTCTGGCAGCTTTTCTAGCTTCGCCTGCCATGGGTGGGGACGGAAGGGGGGAGGGAGAGGGGGGAAGGGAGGGGGAATGAGAGGGGGAAGGGAGGGGGAATGAGAGGGGGAAGTGAGAGATGTGCAGAGTGAGAGGTGTGCACACGTGCAATGGTTGAGAGTGAGGGTGCACACGTGCAGTGGTTGAGAGTGAGGGTGCACACGCGCAGTGGTTGAGAGTGAGGGTGCACACGTGCAGAGGTTGAGAGTGAGGGTGCATACCTGCAGTGGCGCACTGGTGGTTGCTCTGCCCCTAATGTCAAACATGAGCTGAATGATTGGGCCTGCATGCCTGTGAAACGGCACCACACACATGCACACATGCACACAGGTACACATGCACACACGCACACATGCACACAGGTACACATGCACACACGCACACATGCACACAGGTACACATGCACACACTCTCACACACAGACATACACCCACAACAAACACACACGCATGCACCCCCCCTCCCTCTTTCCTCCCCCCACACACACAGCCCCCACACACATACACATAAGAAAGAAATCACAATGAGCATAAGACCACACATGCACACACAAGTAAGCAGACTAAAAGATAGAGACAGGCCAGCCTAGCAAGAATTTCAACCCAACAAGTATTCAAGAATCGACACAATTCATGCTTGCCACACAGAGGTAGGAACCAGAGCAAGCAAGGTGTACCCGGGTCGTTGGCCAATGGATGTGTTGACCCAGGGAGCCGCCGTCACTGCCAGCCTCACAGGCAGAGCCAGTGGCCCTGAAGGACCTGTTGGATCTGATGCCGCTGCTGACGCTGCTGCCTGCTTCTCCCCTTCACCCTCCCCCTTGCTATTCCCCTCCCCTTCCTCCCGTTTATCCCCCTTCCCCTTGTCCTCGTTTTGGCCCTTATCTTCTGCCCCCTTCTCTTCCTCTCCTGGGCCCTCCCTCTCCACCGTCTCCACCTCACTACTAACAGCCTCGCTATCAACAGTCCCACTACCACCCTCCTCCGCCCCACCACCCGTCACCTCTGCTACCTTATTTGTCCCTTCCTCTTCTGCTCCCCCCTTCCCTCCTGCTTCCCCCTTCTCCCCATTCACGCGCCCACGCTTGGCCTCTGGCTCTACATCCACCTGGGGACGGGGGTCCGCCTCCCCCTCCCCCTGCCCGCTCCCCCGGGCCTTCCTCACTGCCCCCTCGTCCCCCCCTGCACTTGTGGGCGGAGTATCAGGGGAGGTGGAGGGGGGATCGGAAGAGGCAGACTCTGCAGCAGCAGCAGCAGACGCAGCAGCAGATTCGGAAACTGCAGCAGCATGAGCAGCAGTGGTGCTGTCGGTGGTGGTGGTGGTACTGGTCGTGGCAGCAGGTGGAGAGGAGGAGGGCAGAGCCGGCGACGAGGAGAGAGCAGTGATGGTGGATGATGTGGAGGAGGAGGAGTCATCGGAAAGAGGAGGGTCAAGGAGAGACGAGGAGAGGGATGAGTTGGGACGCTCCAGGGCGGACTGGCGAATGGACGCACCATGGAGGGGCGGATGGGGGAAGAGCGGAACGATCTGGGATTGTGAGAGAAGCACTGATGAACGAAGAATGGCAAGGCGCTTGGTTTGGAGGAGTGAAGAAAGGGCAGGTGCTACACATTGCAGTGGAAATGGAAGAGGGATACGGGAAGCGGGCGGGGCCCAAGGCAACACGACTGATACATGAGCAAGCAGCACGTACCATGAGGAAGCAGCACGTACCATGAGGAAGCAGCACGTACCATGAGGATGCACCACGTACCATGAGGAAGCAGCACGTACCATGAGGAAGCAGCACGTACCATGAGGAAGCAGCACGTACCATGAGGAAGCAGCACATACCATGAAGAAGCAGCACGTACCATGAGGAAGCAGCACGTACCATGAGGAAGCAGCACACGCCATGGTGCAGCACGTTGCTCCAGGGGAAGTCAAACAGCAGCGCCGCCACCTTCCTCCCCACGCCCTCCCTTGCCAGCCTATCATCCACCACGCGCCTGCACGCCCCCAGCACCTTGTGCCTTGCACAACAGAAGCACACACTATGGGCAAGCAACAGTCACGTACCATGAGGAAGCAGCAGACCCCGTGGTGCAGCACGTTGCTCCAGGGGAAGTCAAACAGCAGCGCCGCCACCTTGCGCCCCAAGTCCTCCCGTGCCAGCCGGTCATCCACCACGCGCCCACACGCCCCCAGCACCTTGCGCAGCAGCAGCACCGCCAGGATGCGGTGCCGCCCCGCTGCTGGCTCTGCCAGCTTGCGCTGGCACTGCTGGGGCGGTATGGGTAGCTCCAGCAGGGAGGCGAACGTCGGTAGACTTTCCACCACCAGCCGCAGCGGCTGGGCATGGGGAAAACGGGAACAGGAGCAGCAGAAACATGGAAGTGAGAATATGGATGGTGGCTGGCAGGGCCATGGAAGGAAGCAGGAGGGCATGGCAGCTACGCAGGCAGCAGAACAACAAAACGAGGTGGTAGTGAGCAGCACAACAAGCCAAGGTGTCAGGAGTGTGCACGAGGGGCAGCTTGTTGAGGGGCAGCTTGGTGGTAGGACTTGGAGGAGTTGCGGCGCAGGTCAGCATCCACGAGCTTTATTCCAGGCACCTCAACAACCACCAAAGCCTGAAGGCCCCTGGAACATACCAACCTGTCACCAGGGTCTCACTAAGGGAAGCTTGTTGATGGGCGAGTTGTGGTAGGACTTTGAGGGGTTGCGGCGCAGGTCAGCATCCACGAGCTCCACCACGTCCTCCAGTGCCTCCGTCATCATGCTCGAATCAAACACCCGTGTCGCTATGCTCCGCCTGCTGCTGCCCTCAGGTGCCATCTGCTGCAGCTTCTCGGATGCTTCCCTGATGAACCGGACGGCCGCGTCAATCTGCGTGGGAAGGGGACAGCGGGGGAGAGTGAACAAGAGTGAATGAGAGGCCTGTCTGGCCCCACTACCCAACGGTCATCTGCACTGATGCCACTCCTCAAAACCCATGTCTCCCAATTCATCATGTTCCTACACTACTTTCACCTTCGCCCATCCCCACCACCACAACTCGCCTCACCCGGATCTGTGGGTTGCTCGCCTTGCTGGCCAACCCCCCCCCCATCCGCTCCCCGCTTTCAAAGCCACGTGGGTCCGCCATGCCCTGCCCCTTGCCTCCCTGCGCGCCCTTCTTCTCCTGTGCTGCTGGAGGCGGGCTCTCCTCGTACTCTATCTGCAGCACACGGGAGGCACATCAGCAGGTGCATCAACAGGGTTTGATTTGTTTCAAGATTATTGCCAAGGTGACCCTGTGTGTGGCAAAGTTAGCCCACTTGGCATCACAAGATGGATAGCTCACAAGATGTTAACCCACTAGACTGAAAAGACCTTGCGTGTGTGATAGCGTCAGAAGCCCAGATGACACGATACCACGGACAGCCCCGTGCCCCCACCCACCACCCCCACTCACCCTCACTAGCTTCCTCACAGCCTGCAGATTCGCCAGACACGCCCGCCCGGAAGCCGAAATCGGATTGCGCTTTACGTTCAGGGAAATCAAATCCGGGGCGGCGCTTGGGGCGGAGAGCGCGCAGGCGAGCTGGCGCAGGCCTGCATCCGATATAAGGTTCTCTGATAAGTCCACAGAGGTGACTGTCTCGCAGTGGATGAGCGCGTCTGTGAGGCGGCGCAGCTTCTTGTCGCCCACACGGCACCGCGCTAGCTGCACCCACATGCACAGATCCGCCTTGCTGCGCATCGACTCCAGCGCTGCCGCAAACCTGATAAAAAATAGTTGTTGAGAGTGGACGAAAAAAAGAAACAGAAAAATGAGAGAATTAGAGAGCTAAAAAAGGGGAGGGGGAAGGGAGATTGTGGAGAATGGGTGGGGGTTGGATCGGGGGTGGTTCGGTGGGAGTTGCTGGTTTAAAAGGGGCAAAACAGCGCCCACAATAAGCAGCCTTAAATGGCAAAACATGCACCTTGTTCATTTCTGAGTCAACACAACAATTGTTGCAGAAAAAAACAATCTTCTATTAAGTCTCAAGGCAGGAATAACCCTGGCAGCTTCCCAATTCCTAACCCCTCTTCTCCCTGCTCTTCCCACTCTTCCCCCTATTATTTCCCTCTCTTCCCCCTCTCTTCCACCTCTCTTCCCCATCGCTTCCCCCATTGCTTCCCCCCTCTCTTCCCCTTCTCTTCCCCTCCCCTTCACTTCCCCCAAACGACCCACCTCTTTTCCGCCACCTCAACCGGAAGCATGTCATCCAGGTCCGGCTGGCACAGGGGCGCATCCGCAGACGACGATGGGGGGAACGAAGCGGAGGGCGCGGAATTGGCGGAAGGGGAGGTGGGCGGAGAAGCGCCTGGGGAGGCGGAACCCGAGGAGGCGCTGTCACTGGATCCCCCACCCGCGCCCTTCTTCTTGCGCTTTTTCTGCAAAAACGCCGCCAAGGAAGCAGGGTAGAAAGAAGAAATATAAAAGGTTAAACAAATAGGAGACAATGTTTGAAATTGACAAGGCTCGGGTTTGCGGAAATTGGAGGACATGCGTTCTAAAACCGGTCGGCAACAAGCTCTCTCCGTCCCCGATCCCACCTGCTTTTTCTTCTTCTTTTTCCCCGTTCCGTTCGCCGTCTCCCCTCCTCCCTCTTTGGACTCGCCGCCAGAACCCTCCTGCTGCCCGTCCGACACCCCTCCCGCATCCTCCTCGTCCTCCTCATCGTCCGATCCCGCGTCGGGCGCCTTGGGATCCTGAGTTTCCAGTTCTGCTTCCAGTGTGCCACCATGATCGTCGCTCATGGCTGCCGAGCGATTATTATACCCACGGAGATTACAACGGGAAAGGGACTAAGCCGAAGGCGACGATAAGAGTTTTTCGTCGCTGTAACTTACTATCCCTTGCAGAAGAGGCGTCGTGAGTATGGTGAAACGTGCGTAATGAGGAGCAATAAAAGCGTGCCTATTGTAAACTACTAGCGAACACCAGAGGTAGGAATAAGCCAATGATGGTTTGGGAAGGCTGGGGAGTGGTAGCAGCCAATAAATGTCAAATGAAATGCTTTTGTGACACAAACTTCTGATGACGTTTCATCACATTTTTATTGTTAATTATTCCAGCTGTTTCCCGATTCCCTACATCAAAAAGTTTTTTCTATAACGAGGTCTAGAGCTTCAGCGGTGCCAGCCAAAGGCGCCTGCGCGCAGACTTTGCAATTCGCTCTGCGCCCCAACCAAGGCTTCCCGCGCACAGCTGTTGGGCCCCTGACACACAGGGCGACACCACACCGAACTGTAGCAGAAGCGCTGAAACGCGCTTGGCGCATTTTAGGGCGCGGAAGGGGAATATTTGCGCCCAACAGTTCAGTAGCAGGAGCCCCCCAGCCAGATTCCAGGGAGCCCTGGGACACGGCACAGATGTCTCCTGGCGACATTCTCCAGGTTTTCCTCTGCATCTGCTTCATGGTCCCAAGAGATCTCCACCCTTCCAACCAAGCATCACTTTTGTTCTATTTTCTTTTCAGGCAGCTTAGCTTCTGAGGCCGCTTAGTGTGCTCGTCTTCTTCACAGGGATATCAAGGCATACGAAGCTTCCGTGCTTTCGTGCCTTTCTTTCGACTCTGAGAGAAATCGCCATGGGTCAGCTCATCTATTCGTTCGTGGCCAGGGGCACGGTAGTTCTCGCTGAATATACCTCTTTCAAGGGCAACTTCAACACCATCGCCCTTCAGTGCCTGGAGAAGATGCCGCAAGAGAATAACAAATTTACGTTCCCGCATGGTGGCCACACACTAAACTATCTCCTGGAGAACGGATATGGTACGGTTTTCATCGGATCTACGGTAGATGAAATTCGCACATATGTTTCCTCCGTGGTCTTAACGTGCGAATTCTGAATCTGCAGCCTACATGGTCCTTGCGGACCAAGACGTCACCCGGCAAATCATATTCGCCTTTCTGGAGCGTATCAAGGATGACTTCAACGCCAGATATGCGAGCAAGGCTGCGAATCTTGGAGCCCATGCCTTGAACAAGGAGTTTGGGTGAGCTTTTCCACTTTTACCGCTATGGCTTTATGCTTGTCGTTTCTTCCTAAATTTGAATGACTTCCGCGATTCGTACATTCAGGCCGAAGCTGAAGGAGCACATGAAGTACGTGGCCGAGCACCCTGAGGAAATGAGCAAGTTCGCCAAGATTAAGGCACAAGTGGCTGAAGTCAAGGGTGTGATGAAGGATAACATTGAAAAGGTGAGAGCCACTTTCATTCATAGATTGCCGGAACCCGTAGCATTGGCCGCCGGTCTTACCTGCCACCTTGGTATTTCAGGTTTTGCAACGAGGCGAGAAGATGGAGCTTCTAGCGGAGAAGGCCGACGTTCTGTCGACTCAGGTAGGGTCAAAGTCATGAAAGCTTGCTCCTAAGGTATGTATAACGTTGCAACTCCTGACTCGAGTTCTGCCGAATTGGTTTGCGCAGGCTAGCCAATTCAAGAAGCAAGGGACCGAAATCAAGAAAAAGATGTGGTGGGAGAACATGAAGGTGAAGGCTGTTGTAATTGGCATTCTGGTGGTGCTCGCTTTGATCATCTGGCTCTCCATCTGCCATGGATTCACTTGCCAATGAGAAACGGTTTGAGGCTCACTGTACATTAGCAGAATATTTCTCAGCTGAGCATTAGCCTAGTGCTCATTTTGCTTTCCCTAAATCAAAGTAGCATATGTGATCTTCCATTATTGAATATTATACCCTGCACTTGCATTTGACACTCTGGACTTTCTGTCATATGTCCTAAGTGCCTGTGGTGTGGACTCAACAAGGATTCAATTATCAAAAGGTGCATCACATGCTAACATCTATTCCTCTAGCGTACTGCATGAGGCTAAGCAATTGCATGTTACCTTATGCATGATGAGTGAGTTCTTATGATACCAGCCAGCCATATGTACAATAGCCTTATGAATGACGCACGCGCTTCGCTTTCTGCTCCTCGGAAAATTGCTTGACATCTTGAACAGTTATCACATGATCAGTACCTGCAAACTTTGCCTGCATGGGGGAGAGGGAAGGGGGGCAGGGGGGAGGATGGATGGGAGGGGAGGGAGGGAGGGGAGGGGGAGGGGAGGGAGGAAAAGAACGGAAGAACGGAAGAGGATGGAGGGGGATTGGAGGGGGTTGTAATGGCAACATGTGGCTTTTGAACTGCTGGCAGACCTTGCCAGAGAAGAACAGGGTTCAGCTATGATGGCAATCTGGTGTTCAGACTTACCAAAAACTCCTGAAAATCGGACTTGAAGCTGTTCAGGCCATGAATGATCTCCAACTGGGCAACCCGGTCCATGCTCTGAAACTGAGCTTCAACCTGTACACTAGCTTCCTCCTCCTTTTGTTGCCGTTTTTTCTTCGCTTCTTCCTCGTAGAATTCGACAGTATCCTCAACGTCAACTAGGAAGTCCACCCCTTGCTCCTCGTAAAATCTGGAAAGAGCAGCAGCATGGAACATGAGCCCCTAGACATGAACAGAAATCAAGAGTAAAATTCCTAATCAAAGCCACACCTGGTGCATTTTTGGCAGTTGCAGATGGAAGCCCTCCACCCATCTGTGAGAAAAAGAGGGCCGACTTCAGAATCATCTGAGCCTGCAAGGGCGTCAGTGTCTGGAACTGCAGTAGTTGCCTCTACTGAACCATTAGTGACATTTGGACCCGTTGGCAAGTGTTCAACCTTCGTGGTGCTTGTTGAATCACCCGCGGTTTTCTTTTTGAAAAAAGAGCTTAGAGTTCGCCCCCTCAAAACAGAGGCTAGCTGGCAGTCTGCTTCGCTGTCTGCGACCGTTGTACCAGGACCAGGACGTACATCAAGAGCGCCTCCTTGAGATGAGCAAGTGACCTGAGGTTTGACAGCATCCACATCCTCAGCATGATGTCCACAAGCGGCTACTGCGTCGTTGCATACTTTGATGCCTGGAACTTCGATACTTGCTTCGTCCCCATTGGCATCCGCTTCCTCATTGCTCACCAGTCCAATTTTGCTTTCATTCCCACATGAAGAAATGTCACCAGCACGCTCTGGAGCTAGCAAGAGGTGAGGATACAGCTTCAAGAAACGGCACTTCAAGGAGGCGCAGTGGTCACATATCAAGTTCGAGAATTCTTCAGGAGCCTGCAAAAAGGCAGATACGCAAGTTGGATTCCATAGATGCTGCACATGGCAGAACAATTAACCACGTTTGTAAGGCATACCTCAAACCCCGGCTCAAGGCCCAGATGATGCTCATGGAACCAATCTTCGCACACAACACATTGTATCATTTCCGTTTCTTCTCCTTCGGCCTCGGCCTCTGGATCAGGATACGGCCTTCGACAGTTGCAATATACACCCGCATAATTCTGATTGTACTCGTTGCGCTCGTTCAAAAGATCTTTCTCAGGTTTCAGCTGGCATGAAGGAACAACCGACCCTTGAAACCTGGATGTGCCACAGTCACACCGGAACCGGCGCTTCGTATAGAGCTCCACAAGCTAACGAATGGGAGGAAACGGCAAGTAATGAGATGTATGTGTGAGAGACGGACCTGTAGAAAAAGTGCTGCCTGGAGAGGAAAAGGTGCGGAATAGACGTGACGGAACAATTATTACCTCATGCCCATCATGACACTTCAGTGAGCATGAAGTGCAAATTCCAGCCGGCTTCCAATCATCAGACAATATGCCTCGTGGGTCCTCTCGACTGCTTCCTCCACTTCCTCCACCGCCTCCTTCAGTTTCCTTGGACGGAGTTGGAATTTTGGGCGGAGGCACGCACGTAAGGCAGGAATAGAGAGCCTGTCGCTTACGGTAGCCCATATCGTATGTGCACTTATCGGGATCATCCGCACCGAGCACCGCGAAAGCTTCCTGTAGCAGGCATAACGTTCATGCGCCGTGCGTCCAACATGGGTTAATGGATCACACGATATTGTGGATTTGTACAAGTCTACTACAGGAATCAGACTGGTACGTGAAGCAGAGCTATGTAAAGAAAAATGAGACACGCACCTCGACTCTCTCTTCGTACTCGTCTGCCGTCATCGCCTCCTCCTCCTCCTCCTCAAATATATCCGCCATGGAAGGCGCGGCGACAAAAAACGCTAGAACAAGATGCAAGCAAGCGAAGATCAGAGCGCGAGAGTAGTGCAAGAAGCCTGTCACAGAATGGCGGGAGCAATTAGCCTGGATGACAGAAAGCCAAATTCTGTGCCTGCATGAAGCAGCCACAAGCGGACTGACAGAGCTGGGTGTTTTTCGTGGGCGCTGCACGGAAACCGCAGCATAGACAAAAACGCGGGAGTCGTTGACAGCCGTCGATTCAATTAGAATGTTTGTATTCCACGGTTGGGCTTCACCTCAGAGCTACAATCGCGTACATCGCTGCACCTTAACATTCGTTTTCTTATATGAGCAAAAACGAAGCCCTACAATTGACAACAAGTCATGTGCTTTGGCATTGTTGAACTCCATCCAAATTTGCACTACCTCACATTCACGGATCAATTTTGTAGCAATTCACCAATTTCGCCAGTGCCCTCTAGCTATTGGTGTAATGGACACTCTGCCCATTCGCGACCCTACAAGCGATTTCGTCCGTTCATCGCCGCCACGGTACCGCGTCGCATGCGCTTTCGCGCCGAAGAAGGTGCGATCCTTCCTGACGCCATCGTTGATCGCCGCATGCTTCGCGAAGGGCATCGAAATCGTCCCCGTTGATCCTTCCCAACACCTTCTGGAGTACCGGAGTAGTAGCGAGGAAAACGAGCACGCCACA